TCACCTGGTTTTCTTTACCTTCCTCCCATTTTGTCCTCTTGCTTCTGAGCTGCGGGTCGCAGGCGGCAAGCTCAGTGACGTACAGCAGCAGGCTGCTGAGGACAGCAAAGGCCCCTTGCTCTGTCACCATCCTATTGAGCTTCTTCTTCAGCACCAAAGGGTCTATCAGCATCTTATCTCCACAAGAGTTACTGCTTTTGGTGCTGCACAAGAGAAAACACGCATATTCTTTTCAAGTTGTCAACATTGCTGCTACCTTCTCATTTTGCTTTAGTGGCATGCTACCGTGCATAAAATGGAAAAAAATACTTAAACTTATAAATTCTCAAGAGAGTCATCATTAGTGGCCTGTTAAAAAGCATGCAGAGTGCTTTACAAGCTTTGTGAGGCATTGTGTAGCAGGAGCGTGCAGAGCTTCACAGCCCCTGTGGCACCATTGGCCGTTCCCTCTGCACTTTGTGGCAAGTGGGAGCACTCAAGTGAATGAGCAACAGTAGCTGGGGTGACCGCATCTCTTCTGTGCCTCCCCTTGATCTAATTTGGTATTAAAGTGTCCAAATGCAAGGGCAACATCAAAGATATTTTCCACTCCTGCTTAGTAAAGTGTTGGTAAGGATAAATACGTTGAAGACGCAGCTGGCAAGAGAACATCGTTCTGCCTCTGGGTTATAAAAACAGACTCTCAAAAAGACTCAAACGATTAAAACCAGATGTACAAGCAGTTCAGAATTATGCTCTTAAATGTGCTTTCCGAAAGGGTACGGGCACACAGGGTCAGCATCACCTGACTTAACAATAACCCTGGCGATGTCATTTGACTGCAAACCCCCTTAATCTGGAGCAAGAAGGCTGATATGTTGGACCTACACTTGAGATATTGAAGAATCAGGCTCTTGGACAGCTGGGGATTTAGGCAATGCTTTAATTGGTATGGATCAGTTACTAAATAAAATACTGAACTCAGCACAAAAGCTGGAGTGTGAAGTCAATAACAATAGATTGGGTTGGGAGGGGAGAAAGCAAGAGGTGTCAGCTTTCTAACACCAGAAAAATCTGGAAGGTTACTCCATCATGCAGTGAAATAGTTTCACGCACAGAATGCAGCCTGCATACCAGGAGGGTATTAATTTTTATAAGCAGAAGCAGCAGAAGAAATTCTTCCAATTAAACCTATGTGTAGAAAATGGAGAAAGGCTGCATTGGGGAGTGCCTTCCCCGAAAGGTCTAGGAAGCCCCAGCTGTGCCCCAGCACCTGGCACCCTACAAACTCCAAAAGAAACTGGAACCAGCCCCCCCACTGTGACATTGCAGGGGCTGGTTACAAAGTGAGGGGCTGCTCCTCGACCATTCGGGTGATGACATTTGGATTCCACTTGGCTGAGTTTCAAGTGCGTGCACATATTGAAAATTACATCCCTCAGCAATGGGATGAAGTTGCCATCTTGAATGGAAGAAGGTCTATTTATAATGACTTTGTAGATATTTTTAGGGGCCAAGAAAAGAAAAAAAGCATGACAACTGGCATATGTCTAATGTAACAAACAATACTCCATTGGTTTTGATTGGGAAGAACTGCATTTCAACATAGCACAGGTGCTCTCTCCCACGTGCACAATGTGGTAACATCTACCCTATCCCTTACTGAATAAACCAGGGGCTGAAGAAGCAAGGCTGCAGTGTTACATCAAAATCCCCATTTGTAACAACTATGGACATTTTCAAAATTAAAAAATAATAAATAAATAGCAAATTGGAGTATAACTAAGGCTAAAAATATCCTAGTTCACTCTTTCTTCTAGAGCTGGTCTGTCAGGATTTTCACTGAGAGCTTTCCATAGCAGAAGATTGCTCCTGTCCTCCCTAAAAAGTGCCTAGTATGTTCAGAAACACACGCACGCATATCAATCATAGTGATTTAAGGTCTCTGATGTCTCAGAACAGCAGCAGAACAGATGCCCTGCTTGCCTCTCCCTACCATACTACTTCAGATACAATAAATATTCACAGTAAAATATGGACTAGCCCAGTTCTCAGCAAGGTCTGCATAGTCAAACTACTATTGCTTGTGAAGGGAAGATCAGATTCTCTGTATTAGGAGTAATTTATGACTTAAGAGCTATGAAATCCATACAACTTCATTAAAATATATTACTTGTGAGCTCTGTTCATGCTTTTCCTTTGATGCTGGTGGTCAGATATAAATTAGCGTGTTTTTATATGTTGCCCTCAGAAACGTAGAATTTATGGGAATATTGCATTGCCTTAAGTACCAAGACATGTTGCATGGGTCGAGTGTTTGATCCGTGACCTCAGAGAGGTAGTGTAATGATGGAGGATTTCTCAGGTTTATCAGGTTTGAAGTGTGACCATCATTTTCACTGGGCCGAGACACCACCCCTAGCATTTCTTCATCACCTTTTCTTATTTGCATCCTGCTTTTCTTTTACTGAGCGACCTATCAATGAAATATAATCTCCTTTACATCAACTGCATATTGTCAGCTCTAGTCTCACCTACATCTGGAAGGAATGGAGCAGGTACCTACTGTATGCAGGGGGAACTCCAAACCAGCAGAGACTCTGAAAAAGTCACCTCTGAGTGAATTATGTCACAGGACAAGCTGGCTGCACAGACCCCTCTCTGAGTCTGGGAAATGGCCTGAGGAAGACTTCAGGCTCTTCTCCTGGAGATTTTCATTGTTCTTAAAGCACGTGATGCTGCCTTGACATACTGCCAGCTCTTGGAAGCGCTGCTGTAAGGATGTGGTTTTTGGTGTCTGGAGGACAGTTCACTTGGGCCTCTATAGGAGGCAAGGCCATCTTCAAAAGTGTCTTGCCTTCTTGGCCCGTGAATAATTAAGATACATAAGACAGGCAATTTACTTATTTATTTATAGGTTCTTTGGTGACACTTAGCACAGCAGTGCTGGAGTGGCAACAGCCTGAAATGTTAACGGGCCACAGTGCAACCCTATCCCAGAGGCTGGCCTGTCCTGAGGAAACCTCTGTAGTGGACAATGCCATGTGGCGGAGAGGGGACAGCAAGCACTTTCCTCTGTCCCTGCCAACACCCCAGTGCCCCAACCCACCTTTCTCACTGTGTTAGGGCTCTGGGAGCTGCAGAAAATAGGGTGGGGGCATCCTGTAGTGCTTGCTAAAAGCATATGACTGGCAGTAAGGCCTTTTTAGTGTTCTCGATGAAATGGCAGCCAATACATCCCACCCCAGCAAGTGCAGAAATGGTGCTTTGTGAGTTCAGCCCATGTAAACCACCTTTTAAATTAGATTCTCTTATTTGTCTCTAAAACAAAACCTGGTTCTCATCAGTCTGGACACATGGTGAAGTGGGAACAAAGTAGTTGTTCGCACACTTCATCTTTTTGTGATTCTTTTTTTTTTTCAAAGGAAGAGGAAAGGTTGAAGCACTGGAGAAGACCCTACCTGATGCAGGATATGTTATTTTCTTTTCTCTATTGCTGAATTTATTACAACATCATAAACTGTATATACATATACAGCATTATAAGCTAAAAGGAGTGTTTTTAGGAAGTCTTGGTATTCTCTTAAATCAAATGCTACTAACAAAAATGGCCCTTTTTTTTTTAACATATCTCCAAAGCAAGCAAGAAAGCACCTTGCAAAGCTGAGAAGACAAAACATGCTAAAACAACAGTGTTTGAAGTAGCTGGTAGTAAGGAAATCCTTTTCATATGGATATTGTCATGCATGCTGCTATTCATAACAACACAGACCACCTGCTCCTGTTTCTGCCACATAACATCCCAGTGACAATCCCAGCAATTGCTTACATGGAAAAACGAATAGGAAAGTACTTATGTATTTTTAGCTATCTTTCTAAAACACAGTTCAGCAGCTGGAGAAAGATAAGAGAAACCAACACCATGTAGGCAGTCACTAACTGTGAAGATTAGAAAGGGTTATGCAGAACCTCAGTTTCTGAACTTCTGAGGTAAAATATGAGGTTAAACACCAGGTGCTATTTCAGTGCTTAATTCTTTCACATCATTTCACTACGGATTCCAGATTTGTGCCCATGCTGCTGGAATATCAGAATCTCCTTCATCCAGTCCTACTGTTTACAGCTGCATGTAGTTTTTAAATGAATCATGGTTTTCTGGCTTTATTAAGAAAGACAAAGAGAAAATGAAAAGGCAAGAGAAATAAGAAGAGAGAAAGAGAAAGGAAAATAAAGAAAAACAGAAATAAAAAGAAAATAGTGATGAAAGGAGAAGGGAAAAGGGAAGGAGAAGGAAGGAGAGGGAAGGGAAGGGGAGAGGTATAGAGAGGAAAGAAAAAGGAAAAGGAAAAGAAAAGGAAAGGAAAAGGAAAAAAAGAAAATAGTAGTTGTAACAGTTTTATTTCCAGGGGTTCTGTTTCTCAGACTTGTGAAATGTATCACAGCCTGACTGTTGACCTATTACAACTGCTTGAAGACCTCAGCCAAAAATTCAGATACTGATACAGCAACATATAATCTCTTCAGTCTAAAAATAAATTATGAAGTTTAGGAAATAGTGTAAGATTCATTTATTTACAAATATTCCAGCCAGTTGTACTGTTAAAAAAGTTTGCTCTGAAAACTGAAGAATGACAAAAGTACAGTTCAGAAATTTTGGACGCAGATGATTTGCTTATCCTTAGGGGTATTTTTAGTGTTGGCTTTTCCTTTTCTGGAAGCTTGTAATGTAACAATACCTTGCACCACTGTGCTGATGCGAGGATCAGCGGTTCATTAAAGGATAATCCGTGAGATAGTAGATTTACAAGTGTCACAGACACATTAGATTTGAGAACATGGTAAAACAGCAGTGGTGAAAGGATTGTCAAGAATACAGAGAATATTCCCATAAGTGGGCACTACCATTAGTTCTGCAAGAAAGCATTAGTTCTCAGAATTAATTTTGTGTGTGTAATTACTGCTCACAGCTGTTTAGAAAGTGGTATTATAGCAAGTTAGACTGAAATCAGTCAAAAGTTTTTATTGATTTTTTTCCATTTGAGATTATCTCACGGGCTTAGGCAGCAATATTTATATTCAAAAATCCCTACATCTGTAAAAAAAACCCACAAACACTGTAAATACCTAGTTGTTCTTCAGTTATTCAGCTATCTTCACTTGCACACAATCTACATACATCCTTTCAGATTAACTCTCAGCTAATTCCTTCATCATTAAAGTTGGACAGTTATCTACAGGATTTGATATAGTCTTTATAGAAAGAGAAAATGGCAGAGACAGTTTTACTTTTCCTCCATGGACAGTCGGTAAAGGTTCTCGCCCAAGTACTCTAGCCTCTCTCTTTGCTCAAGATCCTGGTACATGCCCTTAGGAACCTTGCTCAGGCCGTACACCAGCCCATAGAGGCAGCCAGCAATAGATCCCGTCGCTGCACTTTCTCCTGTGGGTTCAAGCACAGATGCAAATTTCTCTTAGGGTCACCTTTAAGTACACAACTACAGCCTGTAAAGCACAGGGGCAGAAGTACAAAGCCACTAATGGAAGGGACATGATGGCTGCGCTGTGTTAGTCCCAAAGGCTTGTGAGATGCCATGCCTAGGAAGGTATCACCAAGCCCACATACAGCAATGCTTCTGTGATGTGTGCTTCTGAGCTAAGGCTGGTCTCTACATCTCCTGGCCCCCACGGTACCTTTTCCCACACGTTCATCTGATCATTTTTAGAATGTATGTGGACTTTTAGGATTCACAGCATCCTTTCTCAGTGTTTGAAAGGAGCACCTCCTTTGATCTGTTTCAGAGTTTTCACCCACTTTTTGAACTTGGTACCCCCTAGTTCTAGTGTGGAAGAGACTACAAAAGGTTGCCAGAGGCAGAGGCATGGCCAGCAGAGTGGACAAGATCATCCCTGGCAGCACAGATTGACTGCTTATTTTGGCTGGGGAAAACGCACTGCAACCCAACAGCTTTTGCAAGCAGATAGCCATTATTAAGAAAAGGGAGGGAAGAGTAACTGCAGCAGTCTCTGCCACATGGCAAACACCATAGAATCATAGAAATTGGTTGGAAGGGGACCTTAAAGATCATCCAGTCTCAACCCATTGCCATGGGCAGGGCTGCCCTCCATCTGTTCAGGCTGCCCAGGGCCCCATCCAACCTGGCCCTGAGCACCTCCAGGGATGGGGCACCATAGCTTCTCTGGGCAGCTATGCCAGCACCTCATCACCTTCAGTGGTTGGTGACATCTATGCTCTAGATTGGAGAGTGTGCCTAACAACACAGCAAAGCACTACATATGATTTAAACCATCCAACCATGTTAAGCAGCAACAACATTGCTGTGCCTGCAGGTTTTTGCTGGCTGGGCTCTACAGTGAGAGGCTGTCAGCTTCCACCACTGTGACACGGCAAAGGCGGACACAGGTGTTTTTGTGCTGGGATCATTGCCCATATCTGCCCTGGCCCTGGTGACAGTAAGAGAATTACTTTGTGAAAAGCCATGAAAATAATTTATTGCGTGCCTCTATGATTTATCTGTCTGGCACTTGATTGGGCACTGTACCATTTTTCTCCCTTACTTGACTTCACTATATGCAGTTAAAATGTGGCTTTGCTAAAGGTGCTAGTATTCTGGCAGGGTAAGATGCCAACCCTTTACTAAGTTATAGTAGATTTACTTTTCATTCAACTCTGGCAAAATCATAGGACTCAGATGAAGTAACATTTGACAAGGACTATAAGCAGCTTGCATGGCAGCTGCTGCTAAAAGAATTTTTGATGGTCCAGGGAGGCTGTGGAATTTCCTCCTTGAGATCTCCAGAAGCTGCCCAGCCATGTCCCTGGGCACCCTGCTCTGGGTGGCCCTGCCGGAGAGGGCTTGGGACAGATGGACCCAGAGATTCCTGCCCACCTCAGCCATCCTGTGGTTCTGTGATGGTGTAAAATCAGGTGATGTAGAAATAATCAGCGGCACAACAGAGTGGTCAATAGCAGCCATTCATGAGTGGGAGGTCACGAAACACAGTGGGGAAAGGGGGCTGGGAGCCGTGGCAACGTCCTCACCTCCGTGGAACATGGAGCGGTTGCAGAGCTCTGTCCAGTCCCCGCCGCACCCCAGCAGGGCATCGTAGGCGATCATTGGGGCATCGTGGCCCCGTCTCCCACCCCGACCTTCAGAACTCCATCTGCGGTATGTCTGCAAGACAGATGGAGGCATCAGGGTGGAGAAGTGGAAAGGAGGATGTGCACTGCATCTCACTTGCCTACCCTGTCCCTGTGTCCTAGGAGTCGCAAGAAGGCATTTCCTACTCTTGAGCTTTTCTTCTCTAGGCCTGTTTCACAGTGAGAAGATTGCTGGCCCATCAACAAGGGGAAGCATCCTACCAACTGCTGACAATTTTGCATGGGTGTATCCAGTAAATGGGCATCTGCACTTTCTGCTGATGACTGAGTACAAAATGACTTCTTTCATATTCTATCGTAGAATCATAGAATGGCCTGGGTTGAAAAGAACCACAATGATCATCTAGTTTCAACCCCCTGCTATGTGCAGGGTTGCCAACCACCAGACCAGGCTGCCCAGAGCCACATCCAGCCTGGCCTTGAATGACTCTAGGAATCCACATCCTCCTTGGGCAGCCTGTTCCAGTGTGTCACCACCCTCTGTGTGAAAAACTTCCTCCTAGGCTCTGCTGCACTCCCAGTCTCCCTGATGGCTGGTCCCTTCTGGAAGCAGCATATCTCTTCTAGGAACAGAGGCCACCATGCCCACAGCAAGTCAAGGCACTAGGAAGGATGCAGAGAAACTTGGCAGGCCAGGGACATGGTGAGCCAAGAACGCTAAGAAGTAGATGAAGACAGATTCTTATTTCACACCCTACAAGTCCTTATTCTTTAAAAATTAGGGTTGGAGAGGGTTTATATCATCAGTCCTTCTTCTGCCTTTGGGAAATATTTTCAACTTCTCTTGTCACATGTATGCAAATGTTTCTACTTGCCAACTTTTAGATGGAGGTTGAAGAAGCTCTGATTGAGAATTTCTTTAGGGACCCAATTTCAGACTGCGTTAATTCAGGTCACTTTCTGTGACTTTTTCTTTCTGAACCTTTCTCTCACCTTCCCTCGAAAAACAATGAAAAATACTTGCAAACAGAAGAACATTTCTTCCCCAATAGAAGAAGGGAAAAAATTAAAAAGACCACAGTGAGGTTTGCAAAGACAGCTGAATTTTCTCTAGAGAAGTGAGTTGAAGAGAACTGCCCAAAATCCCCAAATGAACTCAAGACTCTGATTAATTTATATTAAAATCATAATTTTCCCTTAATGGGAATTGGCAGCTTTAGTTCCCGGAGCTTTAGTTGCATCATGATAAGTTAGCTGTAGTTGTTTTCCTTTCACATGGCTTCTACAGTGTGTATGAACGTAAGCACGTCTATCTACTCACTTCCACCTCAGCCAGTATATACTCAGTGACGGTTTATTTGCACGGATGTTAAACTGAGTAATCCAGCTTCACTTCGTTCTCTTTTTTTTCAGACTAGAGACAGCAGCTGCTTATTCTGCTCTCTGACACGAGCAAACTTTATAGCCTTATTCCTGCAGTTTCCATTCTGGCGGAGCAGCATGGCCACAGGTGCAGCACTGCCAGTGCAAGTGCACTGACTGTGGAAGCGCTATTCTGGGCCAGCAAGCCAGCGTCTCAAGTTTCTCTCCATTTAGCCCACACTATCGCTGATGTTCTGCACACATCTGATGTCACCTCGCTTTGCTGGGAATTCCTTACTTGAGGGAGAACACTCCTTGGGATTGATCTGCTCCAAGGCAGAGTTTCTCCAGCTTTTCAAAAGGGCAGAACATTGCATCCTGGTGCAGCTCTGTGATTTGGCAGCAGCCCATCTTCCCTGGGCGAGGGCAGGTGAGAACCCTTACGAGCCCTAAAGGCAATTCCCACATCTCCTCCTTGCTACCAACCGCTGTGGTTGATCATTACAGTCACCTCCTACCAACATCTGATCACCCACCTCATACTTATACATTCAAGAAGAAGTAATTTGGATTTTTTTCCCCTACATTTCTAGTTATCTCCAAATTTAATTTGTACCTACCTGTCTATACAGAATGTGATCTTTGCTGTTTAGCAATCAAAGCGCATTTTTTCCTAAAGGGAAATTGCCTTTGCAATATACTCGGATTGGTCCATGCCACATTTGAGCGCTTTGCTTTCACATCTCCTGCAGCTGTATTCTCAGAATGGGGCCTCTTCTCTGGCAGGAACACGCCCATGAGACCTGCTACCAAAAGGGCTACCAGCTATTTGTGCTTTATTCACAAATGCATGCAGAAAGGCCATCCGCTACATCTCTAGAGACAAAATGGTTGGGAGGGAGATGAAAATTAAAGCAGTCCTGGGTAAAAGGCAGGCAAGACAGTCGTCTTCTTGCTTATTCTTTCCATGGCTATAAACATGCTCAGTTTGTGAGCAAAATGGGACTTCTGCCAGACTATGATCTCTGTTTGACGGTACAGTCTGAGAGTCAAGCAACACTTCCTTTCCTGTGCATCAAAATGAACAGCATAGTAGGTCAAATTAATTGGGTTAGGTCCATGAAGATAAGTTTTGTTTCTGCTCTAGGAATTCATTCAGTTCCCTCTTGAAAATGATCATGGGGAGATACCGATCAGTTTAATCTCTCATAAAACCCCGCAAAGACTGCAGCAGAACTAGAAAAAATAAAAAACTAGTAACAAGTTTGTAGCACTGAATCAATAAAATAAAACAGGAAGATTTAGTATTTATATTTAAAGCAGTTTTTTCCACTACCAAGAGTCAATCTAGCTTCCACTGGCACTTTTCACTGCAGAAACAAACATCTAAATATATACAAAGTGTCTTCTCAGAATAGAGCGGTGTTTTTATACTCTGGAAAAAGGGATTGATTTATGGGGAAGGGTGACAAGAACTACATACTTAGTTCTTAGCTGCTAAGTGGACAACATTGAGAGGTGCCAGCAAGTATCAGAGTTGTAAACACCAGGGAAGAGGAGTCATTATTTATCTTGAGTTAAGAAGTTATAACCTGTATTAATAAGGCAAAAGAAAGATCACAGATACTGTAAAACAGTACCACATAAAACACGGTAAAAAAAACCTCTTGAGACATCTAAAACTAGCACTGGGGCACTGCTGGTATTTGCAGGTCAGTGCTTAGGAGGGCTGTCTTCTGTTCAAAGGACCTTAGTTCCATTAACCCAGCTCCATTAGGAGGCATTTCTGTGGGACTTGGGCACAGCTCCATTAGGCTTCAAGGAGGAAAGGCCTCCAGCCTCCTTTTCCACCTCAAATAGCTATGGCTGACAGAGATTCATTTACAAGCTTTATACCCGTGCTGAACATCACCACACCTGACATTAGGACTTCCTTTCCCATTGTAGGAACCTTTAGCACCTCAGGAGTGACTGCAGCTGCTTTTTCCACCCACACCAAGGATGGGAGTTCTTTACACTTTCTTAAAATTTTAGAAGAAAATAAAGACTTTCTCTCTGCTCCAGCACTGGACACATTTGTAAAGTATTGGTGTGTCCCTCTGAAAATACCTCACTCATGGCAAAGCCTTTCTGGGCGTTATCTGAAGTCATGGTTACCTTTTCTCTCTCCTCCGCATCATAGTTGTCTGGAAAGACGGCTTTGTTCTGGTTGTCCTCATTGATTTCTCTCTCCTCCAAGTAAAACTGCCACTTGGCTTCAAAGTAAAACCAGTGCTCCTGATATTCTGAATGCAAAAGAAATTAATGATGTAGTATTTCATCTTGGCAACATTTTCATTTCTACTTAAATAGCTTCTCAAGAAAATGACTGTATTGACTCATCTGAAAATCTGGGTGTTTTGCAGGAACATACATTAAACAGGCATATACACTAAGTATGCATTTTAATATGAGGTGGAACATCCAATTGGAAACAGCAGATGTAAAAAGGAAGAAAGTATTTTCAGAATCTCATGCTATTTTTATGACACATTAAAATGACATTAAGGGGCATCAAGGTGAGATTTGGAGAACTTACTTAGAAACAGTCTAAGAAAAAGGTAAAAGTCAATGATTTAGAGAGAAAAATGTCAGTGCTGTGCCAATTTTTGTATTCTTTTGCTATGATTAAGGAATATCTAAAAATACTTACATGCCTGAAATACAAGTACTTCCCACCTCAGTTTTTTTTCATACATTTTCTCCAGGATTTCTGTTCATGACTGTCATCTTTTAGGAAAGGGTAGATGGGAAAGACCAAAATTTCCATTTGGGTATATTATAATCTTTATTAAATGCCGTAAAAAATAATAAATAACACACATATCTTTGCCCATACAAATGAACCAGTTGTAATAACCATAGGCCTTTCTCTTTTTTAATGTAACTTTGGGAAGAATATCACTAATAACTTTTAACACTGTGCATGTGAATACTCTTATTAAATTCAGTGTGTTTTCAAGGCAACAATTGACCTTTTATAAAGGCTTGAAAAGGTGCAGAAGTCACACTGAATACATATACACACCTCTGCAGAATTTATGCCTGAGTGAAGAGGCAGATGGGAATCAGGAATTAAAAATCAGGGAGATATACATGGCTGCTAAGTGTGTCAAGGCAATCTGGAGATTCAGTGTGGGACTACTTGTATATAGCTGAAAATATGATCAATTCTTGCTGCTTTCTCCCTGATTCTGTCCTTCTTGGTCACTCAGTGCTGTAAGTAACTGAGGAGCATACACACAATTGAACTGGTTTTCTGAAGGATGTAACCTACAAAGAAAGGCTGTGAGTTGGGGCTGTTCAGCTTGGAGAAGAGAAACCCCCAGGGAAACCTTATTGTGGCCTTTCCATATTTAAAATGGGCCTAAGAAAGATAGAGGCCTGTTACATGGACATCTAGTGACAGGACAAGTGGTAATAGTTTTAAAACAGAATTTAAACTGATTTTGGATTGACGTGAGGAAAAAAAATTCTTCACTATGAGGGCAATGAGGCGCTGGCACAGCTGCCCAGAGAAGCTGTGGTGCCCCATCCCTGCAGCTGCTCAAGGCCAGGTTGGATGGGCCCTGGGCAGCCTGAGCTGGTGGGGGGCAGCCCTGCCCACAGCAGGGGGTGGGACTGGGTGAGCTGTGAGGTCCCTTCCAACCCAAACCTATGATTCTATGATTTTTTTCTTTTCCTAAAAGGCTGCACAGGTTTTCCTCTTAGCCAATTCAGATCTTTAAAGCAGTTAAACGCCATGTAAACAAAACCAGGCTGCCTTGCATGATCCAATACCTTCAAGAGGTGGTAGATCAGCAGCCCCACACTGGGCTGAACCTCCAGCCACATGGCCACTTATATGAGGGAATGTACATCTGGTCTTCTTCTGAGCCTGTGCCTCTTTTGCCTGATTACAAGGAAGCTAGCTGTCAGAATTCTAATAAACGAGTTATTCAGAAGAATGAAAAAGCACACAGCCATTAGGCCAAAGTGTATTTCAAGGGAAAAAATACATCCCATGAAGATTAACCTTATTGGTTGAAGAAAACTATCAAAACCCATCCCACTAGTTGGTTCTAAAATTGCTTTTAAATATATAAATGAGTTGACAGGTTGTGTTGTATTTTACAGCACATATTTTCCACTTTCCTTTTTCCCCCATGTACATAAAGCATTAAAACGTCACAGATGACTATTTTCTCAGTGTAGTATCTCAATAAGCAAGGAAGTCTGATTGTTTCAATGCACAGGCTCAGAAGCAAAGGGGGAAAGGAGAGGCAGGAGATCTTGGTTGCATGGACAGGCAGCACAGTCAGGTACCCCATCCACCAGCCACACTGAGGCTCTGCCCCATTTCTTGAGCCCAGATGGAGGCTACAGTCACATGCGGATCCATGGGCTGTCTGGAGAGTAGATGTAATTGAGTAACAGAGAGGGGTGTTGAATCTAACCCTCTGTGTCTGAACATCATGTTTGTTATCCTTGTTATCCAAGGAAGGTAAAGCAGCCAAGAAGTTTTTCTAAAACAGGAGGACTCTGTTTGGCAGGACATCTTTGCAGTGCATCTCACCAGGCAAGGAGCTTATCTTTAATGCAGAAGACTTATCTTGCTACCAAAATAGGACAAAGCTCAACAATACGGACATTGCCCGCACAGCATGCCTCAGGAGTCCAACACACATACCTCCATGCAGAGGGGTCCTGCTCTATTGGAGTGACAGGAACCTGCTGGAAAGTCATTCAAAGAGGATCTCACTCACACTAATCCTGCACCTGCTCCTCATAGGTCTGGTCTAAAAAAATCTTAGTGTGCAATGAGACGCGGGTGAAAACACAGTGTTTTTCAGGGAGGCTCCCTGCTTCTTCCAGGTTTTAAAGCAGCAGCCTTCTTTCCCAGATAGATCTTCATTTCTGAGTGTACTTGAGTAATTTTTTCCATAGAATTCAGTCTTTCTCAATGGTTGTCCCTTGAGATTAACAGGATAATCTCTTTCTGCAGTGTTCTAAGGTAATTATACTCATCCGTCCACAGCAGTCTCATTGTTGCAAATGCATTACTCTCTGGTAAGGAGCTAAAGTACATCTGTCCCGAAGACCACATACATCAGTGATGTAACAATATCAAGTTTGGCAGTTGTGGTCTGCTCACTTGTTTTAAAACAAAGATACGAGGCCTTGTGTTTTAAATATTTGTTCAGAACAGCTATGAGTCAAATCTGCATCTGTGGTCAAAAACTAACTCTGTGTCAAGAGGTGTCTGCAAGTAAACTTCTAGAAAAAATGAGTGAAGAGGCAGTGGATTTTCTTATGGAAGATATTGCACCATGTTAATGGATGGAAAGAGCTGAGTAATTTATATTTCAGCAATATGTTTGCCTAACAACCTGCTAATTAATAAATCTTCCTTCTTTCTCTCTCAGCAATCTTTGAATACTTCCTAAAGATAAAATTGTACAGTGTGGTCTTATCACTGCTATTTTCTTTGCATTTTTTTGTCATCAGTATATTGGGCACCTAACAGATGGTAAGAGAGGAAGGCACCACTTGCAAAGAGCTTATAGTCCAAGTGGACTATGCAAGAGGACAATCTGAAGGGTTGCAAGGTGAGGGGAGAGCAGCAAGAATGGTGAAACTGGGCATTTCTTGCTAGCTGAACACACTTTTAAGAAAATAACTCTTGGTTCAGACATTACCTGCCATGTGACGAATGGTCTTCTTGCAGTATTCCTCTGCCATCGGCACAACTTTCATCATTTCTCTTCCCCATTGCACCAGGGGCTTCCCTTGTATTGCATACGCCACAAAGAGAGCTGTGCATAGGGAGCCTAGAAAGCCTGGAAATAATAGATAAATATAATTACTACCATGTGATCTGTACTTGTGCTGTTCTTGTCACGTCCCTAGTAAAATCATTAGTAGGATGCCTCTTGTCTGTTGAGTAGATTAACAAATGCACGTAACCTACCACCATCTGTTTACTGGCTGGCTCTTGGCATGTGGAGATTCTCAGCTAACACATGGTTCCCAGTGGTTTATGACTTACTTTGTACAGAAGGGAGATTCTGTTGTCAGTGGTGTAACTTGATAGAAATTGAGGTAGGGCTTGAAAATAAACATCATCCACTAAAGAGGGTGGTGACACACTGGAACAGGTTGCCCAAGAAGTTTGTGGATGCTCCGTCCCTGGATGCATTCAAGGCAAGGCTGGATGTGGCTCTGGGCAGCCTGATCTAGTGCTTGGTGACCCTGCCCATGGCAGGAGGGGTTGAAACTACATGATCTTTGAGATCCTTTTCAGCCCAGACCATTCTTTGATTCTATGATTATGATTTGATACTGAAGATCTAATTGAAGTCACATGGAATAAGGATGTTGCACAAAAGTATTCACTTAAAAGCTATGTCACTTTGCATATGGAGTCATTCAGCTCAGTGCATCTCACACTATTTCTGGCTTATTTTACTCTAGGTGGACAAGTCCATTTTATATAGTTAGATCCATTATTTTCTTTTTTTCAGTTGTCTGAGTAAGACGTTGTCCACATGCCCTTGTAAGTACAGGCATCCCCTTCGGATATATTTGAAGAGAACTTTCTATTAATGGGCACTTAAATCTTCTATGATGTCAGAAACAAGACAAGCTTGTTTCTCATATTTGCTTATGATCTTGGCATTTTGTCAAATGCAACAAAACCAATCCAGGGCAAAATAAGGTTAACAAAACAACTCTATCATTTAGACAAGCATTGGGTGAGCAGAGTATTGTTGTGTGTGCTTCACTGAGTGCATGGTTCAGAAAGCATTTTCTCATGCACAGAGGTAATCGTGTGTTCTTCTGAAGGCAAACATAAATTATTTTAGGAGGTTACAGCTCCAGAGCAGATGGTTACTACTTCTGTTTATGATAAAACCTTCAATACCAGGTCAGGCCAAAGTCACATTTAATAGATGTTTTCAGAATCTGAAACAAAACAAAACAAAACAGGCAGAGACAGCAAAAATGGTCTCACTTGGACAGACAGCAGCTATCCAAGCTGCCACAAAGATCCTTAAAAGTGTCACACTCAGCATGAGGTGGCTGCAGACAGCAAAGCCAGGACCAAGATGGGGAGTCAGTCCTGTATCTGTCCTGACTGACATCTCAGTTGGGTTTTTCCAGTCTCTGACTTAAGAGATTCACAGCTCAACCTTCTGTGGTACTTTTTAGGATGTTGGTGATGTTTGTCATGCCCTTTCCACCCCTCTTCTCACTGCCCTCCACTCTGCCACTTGTCTCCTTTCCAGCAGAAAAATCCTTCTGGACTTAATTTCTCCTCGTGCAGAAGGCATTTGATACTCCTTGCTGCCATTTCCTGGCTCAAGTTAAGTCCTTTTTTGGAGTGGGGATACCCAGACCTACAAGCAGACTTGTTCTTAATGAGCCATAGATGTTGCGTGTTGCCTCAAAAATATGCTCTACTTTGCTTTCAATATTTTTCCTTTAATTGTATGCCATCATGATGGCTTTTCTGACTGCTTCAGAGCACTGAGCATGTTGAACTCGTCACTCTTCATTATAATTTTATTTATTGCTCCTTAAAGCGGACTGAATGAATACATGCTTAAGCAGCGTGAAACTATCAGATTGACAGTCTTGGATGTGCAGAGCAACATTAAATCTAATTATTTATATTTTGTTTAGATAATAATTCAGATTGTGTCCTAAATGTATGGAATTAGAATTTTTTTTGCTTTCTACCCTTACCTGCAGCGATCGGATGTGACAAGACCTGTCAACAGAAAAATGTTGTTATCCTCTGAACCATAAGCTCACCCCGTAACAGTGAGTCATCTAGATGTACACAAATCCTGTGATTTGATTAGGGCAAGTGGCATGAGTATGCTTTGGATGAGAAAGGGTGTGTTTAGTTATTGGGATTTTAGGAAGGAGCACCCTTATGCTTGAGACTGATGTTTGTATAATATACAAGCCCATATATAAGCTTGTTGTACATATACATACACTGCCTGAGCAAAATTCAAACCTAGGCCTTGGAGTCTGCAAACCAAAAGCTGCTTAACCAAGTGGTTTCGCAGGAGCTGTGTTAGTTCTCTCAGAAGTAAAAAACAGCTGTGGGCACTTCATAGAAAAAGTGCATCTGCAGATATTACCTGTAGGGTGGTTGTGAGTCATTCGTCCACACTCAATGCTCACTTCAATAAGTGACTCCAGCCTCTCTGGCTTCCAGTAACGCATCCCTAAGCACATTGCTTTTGTAGATGCTCCAAAACCAGAACCTAAAGTAAAATAACAATGCTAAGCACTTAAAAAGAGATTGTTGATGCATAAATACATTGATTCAATCAGAAACAAGTGCATTCTGTTAATTCAGCACCTTTGTAGGAGCTCTCCAGGAAGCAAGAAAACAGCATGCAAGCAAAATTATGTATTTTGAAAGGAACAAGTTTGAATGTTTTGAAAGTTTCATGCATGCAATTTTGCCAATTCATTCTTATACTAGTAGATTCCAGTATATTCTACCAGTATATTCCAGTATTCTTGAGTGCTACAAAGAGCATAGCAGGTATCATAGAGCAGCATGCTCTCCTGTTACCAGCGTTTGATTCCAACTCTCATGTCACTTTCACTGATCCTTGGCTGACACCTCTCTTTTCTTGCTCCAGATGCCAGCAGTGGAAACAGCACTCTGCCAAACAGGTACACTTTTACTATGCCCTTATTTTAGTAGTTATCATGCTGAGAGTACATTACTAAAACTCTTTATGTGACTGTCACAGCTAATCTTACAGTTTTATTATGTGGTTCCTTCTGGAGAGCCCCACAGGTAGCTCACAAAATAGCTTCTATTTCTTGATAAAATAACGTGTCACAAAAACAGAGTACAGAGCCAAATCCTTAAAAGTTAGAATTCAGAACTGAGGTTTCCTGTGCAAATTGATGTCAGTGCTTTTTGCACATTCTCATCATGATGCTGCCTGAATTTACTGAGCTTTTTGTTGGGAATTTCTGCCTCATGCAGTGCAGAGATTATGTGTTGATAATCCGGTCTTTCTTTTAATCCTCAGTACTGAGTATATGATTCCAGGTGTTCATCTTTTAAACAGTTTACTGAATGCAGAGCTAAATTTACTGATTATTTTCTCTCCAGTACTTATCACAGCAGTATCAGGATCCCACTGAAGTTTTAATGAGCTTATCTTCACAAGATACCAGTGAGGTGATTATCTCCTCTTCACAGCTGGTGAACCAGTGCCCAAAAAAGCATTTTCTCATTGCAGGCACTCATTTCAAGATGGATAAGGTTCAATTTTTCAAAGTACTTAGGATGTTTTCAGCACTGCCTTCACTCACTCACACTTCCCAGAACCTTGGGTATTGCTGAGAGCAATTAGAGTTTCCCTACTTGGCCCCTGGTAGATAAGGGGAAATATTTATGCCACCTAATTTTAGCACGTGTGGGATCTGCATTAGAAGCACATTCTTCTTGTCTTTCCCAGACAGGCAGCAAGGAAAAACATTGTCTCTGTTAGCAAGTATAATGGCACAAGAGGAGCAATCCATAGGACACAGTGAAACAGCAGATGCCAAGGAGCCAAGGCCAGTGCTAGAGAACCGCTTTCCTTTCATTCTCAACCCAAATGACTGCTGCTTGTGTGCTCTAAGATCACGAGCGTAATCAAAGTGTGAATGATAGTAGAGGGAGCATAAAATTAGCTGCCCAATCCAAACTAAAACATTAACTCAAGACACCTGTTGGCATCTCCAGATGTAACACAGACCAACTAGGATCTGAATTATTCTCTAGAAGGGATTTCCCAGGCAGCAACTCACCTGGGTGGGCACCCAGGTGAAGTAATCTGACAAGGTTAGATCCACACTGACATTGGGCAATAGAGAGTAAGAATAACAATTATGACAAAAATGACAATAAGAAAGAGTAAAACTATACGCTATAACAGCATAGTCCCTTTGTACTAACTAAACTGCTGACAATTTTGTTCCCTGGTTCAGGAGTCAGCTGCTGCTTCATTACTCTGCTTGGAGCCCTTGAAGGATTTTCTCTGAGTGAATTTGCCAAGCTATTTTTTTGAATGCATAGGAATGTTATCACCTGCACATTCCCATTAAAAAGAGTTGTGCAACTTAATTAGTTGCTACATTTAAGTTCTCCCTTTTACATGGTTGGAATTCATGACTGGTTGATTTCATCTGAAATGCCTAGTTCCGTTCTGGAGGAGACAGTGAGTTTTCTCAACCCATATTAATGTTCTCCATCCTTTTTATAATTTTACTGATCTACCTCAGACATTAGTAGCTACAAAAGCTGTTGAATGCATTGGAAATCCAAACAGACTTCATGTATCAGACATCTTCAGACATCTCCTTTGAGCTCTGGTTTCTTGACTATTTCATGGGCTTTCTAACAGATTTATGAAAAGTAACTTTTCTCTACAATTCTCTCTGCAGGAGCTTACTATATCATCTTCATTCATGCAGTGCATTATTCTTTGTTAATATGGAAGACCTTAGTGGGTTTTTCCTCACTCTACATATGTAGAATAATGAAGATCAGATTAATGGCTACTAAGCTCTGAAGAGGACGCATCCTTTGTGACTATGGTTTGTTCTTCATGAAAACTCAGAACTCAACTCCTTTTCCTTTATGCCCATCTGCAGCTTATCCTTCTCTTCATTTTTGTTCCCCAACTTTCTGCATTTATCTTGAACTTTTTCCTCATCAGTCCTTATCAATGCCATAATGTGGATATAAGCTCTTACAACAGAAACTGTTGGACAGACTAGAGCAGTTCTCTTGATGGCCATAGGAATTCCATCACCCTTTAACATAATTTGAGTACCTCTTCAGTGAGCATGCCAATGAATGTGGCAGTAGGTGGGAAAGAGACACATAGGGCAGTTTGATGTAAGAGGTTGATGTGCTGACTATACACATGCAAAGCTGAGCAGAAGACATTTACATGAGCAGTTTGAAATTATCTAAGCTCCAGTTTGACTGTTACATGAAGGCTAGCACATGAACTTTGAAAGAAGTGGGATGACATAAGAAGACCACCAGAAAAGAGCATTTTGGTACCAGATCATTCAAGATATCACCTGATATTGAGCAACATACATTTTTCTTGCCTCAAGTGGAAGTTTGTGGAAATTCAAAGTTAAAGTAAATAATCTATGAGATGTTCAGAGTGGTATTTGTGGGACCAGATGGAGACAGTGCATTATAGATGCTGGATCTGAAGGATTTCATTTTAGACAATTCTAGCATCCCAAGAGCAAATCTTCAGCCATGGAAAGCTGGGGAGGAAGAAGGCTGAAAAGCAGAACAGCAGCAGCCCGGGGAACAGCTGCGTCCTGCTGCTGGAGGTGTCAAGAGCTGCTCAGAGCCAGCAGCATTTCCTTCTGTTATTTTGTCTGAGTTTTACGCACTGTCTGTCAGAAAGCACAGGACGACCACCAAAGGGGCACTGTCTCAGATCTGCCCAGCGTATGGGCAGTGGGCAGAGTAAAGCAGAGGGGAGCCTTCCTGACCCAGCGGTATGGTAGTGACAGGGGCTCGGTGAGACCCTTTTTGTGTCAAATAAAATTGCCTGCAGAGATCCAGAAATAGCTGTAGGATAGTGCCACTGTGTTTTTGTCAGTGTTGCATCAACATACAATGCTGTTGAGCAGTGTCTGTACATACCACAGCAGGACTACGTCACACTGACACGGTGCAACACCTTTATGGGCAGCCACGTCTGCTGCAGTCATTCATGATCAGTGGCACTGCTCAGGTCTACGAGTGTACACAGCTGCATGTGTGCTAATTAGCTGGAAGTAGAAATTCTATTAGTAGAAATTCTATTCATCATAAAATGAAATGACTGCAATGAGAAAGTAAGGGTCTTGGGAAGGGAAACGGTGCTGGGAATATTTGGGATTATCAGTTAAACAGTTCCTGACATTGCATCCTCCTGAAGAAAAGTTACATATGACTGAAAAGATTTGCATCTACAAACATTTAAATGATTTAAAAAAAAAAAAAAAAAAAAAAAAAAAAAGCAGAAAATATTTCTTAAAATAACCATTAAACTCAAGGACAAAGACCTGGACCCAGAGGCACGGAGCCAAGGACAAAGTCTCTTTAAATAGATGTTAAATGGGGAAGGGTGCATTTACGAGAGGACACAGTGCCCTGGAGCAGGAATTCCTGGCAGACCTCTTGCCATCCCCAGGCAAGCCTGGGAATATTTCAGGGGTAGTAACTTTTGATGTCAAGGAGAAAAACAAAGCAATTTCCCTGTAGCCCCAGATCTTGAAGGCAGGTGTTATCCAAGCCAGTGTCTATGAATGTAAAGTAAAGTAGTACGTTACCCTTTTCATTGAATGGAGTGTGCCATGCCAGAAGGTAATTATCTGGCTTCAGTTCCCGGCAGCCCTCGATGGTTGCAGGGTCTGGCCGCCTCCCTGAGAGCTTGTCCACAGCATCCACGTAGCGCTTCACTAGCTCCCGGTACAGGTCCTCCAAACACCAGTAATCTGCTCAGAACAGGAGCGAAGGCTGTCACGTGAATGCAGAATAACGAGAGTGCACTGACAACAAACACAGAAGGCTAGTGGTGCAGTTAATATATGTTCCTATTTCTGTTTCCATTACACGGAGGCACAGTGCTGGTGCTACAATGAACAATTTTGCAAACCACGAGAGAAGGCTGGAGAGAAAACACTCCTGTCTCTCTGTTCTTAACTTTTCCCACCTTACTTTTCACTTTTAATTCCTAGAATAGAACAGACTTCAGGGGGGCTTTCTCTTGCCTTGGGTGAGCCTCGTGCTGCCCAGACCTTGCTGCGTGCACCCGCTGCCTTGGTGCCAGCTGCACCCAGCTTGGCCCACCTCCATGCTCATCTGCAGCCTTAAAGTCTTGCCCAAGGAATCTCTGCTGTGCTGAACCTACGGTGTTTCTACAGTCTAACTGCTGTTTTGCGCTGCTGATGCCCTGCTTTCTGCTGAGAAAGAGCCTTCACTGAATCCTACAAGTTCATAGCCAGCAGGATCAGAGGAGGCTGCCAACCAGCTGTTAGTTTTCTGTGTACTCAATGAGCGCTCTGACGTGGTTTGACTACGGATCAAACAATCCCCCAAATCAAACTGCTCTGTCCCTGGAGGTGTTCAAGGCCAGATTGGATGGGGCTCTGGGCAGCCTGGTCTAGTATTAAATGTGGAGGTTCGTGGCCTTGCTGTGGCGGGGGGGTTGGAGATTCATGATCCTTGAGGTTCCTTCCAACCCAGGCCATTCTGTGATTCTGTGAAACGACACCAAGGGAAGTTCTAAAAATGTCTTCATTTCATCAGATATTGGTGATTTCTTGAAATCTACAGAAGCATTTAAATTTGGGAATAAATTTTCAACCCCATCAGCCACAGATTCTCTGAAGTGACATTTTTGCAAGCAGACAAATAAAAAAGATGCAGAGTAAAATGAAATTTCCCTTCCTTTTATAAGAAAAAAGCCCTATCAATTACACTGGCCATCTCACATACAGTCCTGGAGGAGCAGGATGCTTTCAAACTGCCAACTATTTCCAGATTTAGGAATCAGATAACAGTTTATGAGGACATGAGCCAAGAGCAGGATTTACCGCCCAACACCTCCTGCAGGAGCCCTATCAGCAGAGCCAGGGTCCTGAGCCCACCATGGGGCCTAAATGTGGGGCCTCAGCCAGCAGGCCGATGGGACGGGCTCTTTCTTTAAGTGGGAACACTCCATAGCTTTAAACAAAAAGGGGAGATTTAAGTTAGATTTTGGGAGAGAATGCTTTATTCAGAGAGCAGCAAAGCGCTGGCACAGCTGCCCAGAGAAGCTGTGGGTGCCCCATCCTTGGAGGCGTTCAAGGCCAGGTTGGATGGGGCCTTTTGCCCCCACAGGGGGAGAGCCCAGCCAGCCCAGCAGACTGCTGCATCCTCTCTGCAAGGAGAAGATGTCTGCAGGAGGAGCAGCCCTGCCTCCCTTTTGGGAAGCAGAGGAAAGGATTTGATTTCCCCCATTTATGAATGTTGCCCTAAAATGAATATTCCCTTCTCCTGCTTTCTGTTTTCTCACCAGCCCACACCAGCATCTTTTTTAAAGCCCATCTGATCAGGACAAAGAAATAAGAGCATGAGGTAAGCATAGGTAAAAATTAGTGAGATGTTTCTTTCTTCAGAGAGGGCAGTGCTCCTGCTGCATGCAAGATTTATTACTATACTCATAGTCCAACCTGCTTGAATGTTCAGAAGTTATGGTTTTGGACAGTTCAACGAGCAGGAAACATATGATATGTATTTAATCATAGCCTATATTCAGAAATATGTTAGTCATCTTTGTTCTTGATAGGCTGACATCTTGCCCTTATCTTTAGTGTATTAGCTACCCCGTAAACCATTGGCCTGCTAACAGCCAGGCATGAAGTGTCCGCCACACTCTTCAACTGATCTCTGCACGCTAAATTTAGAGCACATTAGAAGCAAGCAGAGATAAAGCAACGAAGCAGATGCATGTTCATTGACTGTAACAATACTCAGCTTCACTGTTGGGTTCTGCTGCTATTAATTATCCAGTGCTACACGTGTTAAGGGAAATCAGTTTTAAAAATTTGTTTCATTTGGAGGAGACAAAACGTTGCTAAAAGGCAGCTGTCTTCTGAAGAATTTCTGGTGACAACCCAGATGGTCTCAGAAAGCCTTAGTTCAGTGGATAGGGTGTTGATAAAAATATCACTTAGTACTGACAAACAGTACTACCTTATAAAAAAAAAAAAAGGTTTTCTCTCAAACTGCTGTGCTTTTTGAAGATGTATTAATAACTTTCACCACTGTGATATACTTTATTATCATTATATTTTAGAATATTGTACAGAGCTCTCTCTACAAAACAGCTTGCTCCTATGCTGCCATTGCATTTTAGCCAGGACAAGATATCAAGGGTACTCCACCCCGGCCTGGAGCACGAAGCACAAACATGTTAGAAATGCACTCATGAAAGCTCTGATCTTTTATGGAAGAATTTCAGACAGGTTTCTTTCTAGTGGCTGTACCAATCTCTGGTTTATATAGCATACAGATCATTTACTTAACAGTTGTTTTGTTGCTCTTGACTTGCAGCATTTCAAATCGTTAAGCTTTAGCCAGCTTTATAAAATGAGGGGAAGCACAGAAGGAGCCCCTCCACGCATGAGAAATCGCAGCTCCTCAGCTGGAGCAGTGACCACAGGACCATGCTCGTGGAAGAGATGAACTAAAGCACATCATCATTCACATCAACAGCATTTCTGACACACTTTTTCCTAACTTGGGCTTATTTTAAGAAAAAGCAGCAACTCTACAGCATTTTTTCTTTCCAGACTGCAGTTCCAAGTCCATCTTACCTACCTGTGATGACAGCCTCTGCTGTAGCCATGTGCATGAGCGTGTTGTCACTTACTGGCCATTTGTCTGGGGAGAGCACCAGGTTCTCCAGCCCTCCAATTTCCTTCAGCTCCTGTTGGATTTTTGCACCTAAAGCATTGTCCTGTCGGGAGAAATTTCTGTAACCAAGAGCATCCCCTACCCCGGCCAGTACAAGCGCAGCCTTAAATTTATCCATCCTCGAAACACTTCTGGCTCTCCCAGCCACTGGATCTGGATCTTCCTTTGTTCCTTTGCCTTCAGCTCAGCTCCTCTGACACTTTATATCAGCCATTGTGTCACCCCACGAGTGCTCTCTATAAGGCAAGAGCTTCCTTTTCTGGCTCTGCAGATGCCATCCCCTGACTGGGACCCAATGGAGAGGAAATATTTCATAAGCTGGGGACTTTGCAGAGGCTTTGTTCAATGGAACTGCAGGAGCGTGTCCACAAAGCGAAGTGCAAAAACATCGTTTCTGCCACACAGCACAAAGCAAGCCAGGAAATAGTGAGCCCTACCCGGTGCAAGTAACTCTACACCCAGAAAAACAGATGGCTTCACAAGGGTGTTTATTTATTTAATAACTTGCAAATTAATACATTTTCCTGCACTTTTCTGATAGGCTGCAGTCAGTCTCGCTTTCAGGGACTGACCAAGAAGCTGAAAGCCTGCAATAAAAGAGGTTCCCATTAATCAGGAATCACAAGAATAATGGCTTAAGGTGACAAGAAAGCCCACCTGAAGTAAAATGCACATTTCTAATTATGCTGCATAGCAATATTTTGTCAGCAACTTTCTTGCTGTTCCACCAGGAGTGTTTAGTTAATTCACTGCACCCCTGGACAAGCACTGAGCAAAATGTTAGCTTCAGTCCCAAGTGCTGCTGCCTGGCAAAGAAGGACTTTTTCCTAAGGCAGAGTTTACATGCAGTCCACATTCGCACTCGTAAAGGAAACTATTTTGAAAGATGTATTTAAATGGCATCCTGCGAATCTCAGAAAGTTCATATATGAAGAAATCACACTTCATAAGAACTGAGTTTTCTTAACACCATTCTTCCAAAGTTGATGCTTGGAAAATTAAGCACTTCATTCTGTTGTTGCAGTTTTCTCTGTGCTGCTGCCAGGCAGCATAAGAAAGGGCTCTGCAGTTTTGCAGCCTTCTAAACATAGATTGCCCACAAATCCATCTATGTAGATTCAGCATCTTCCTTCAAGGATCTATGGAGACCAACCTAAATTGTGGTTCCAAGGCACTGTTCATGTGACCTAAAGAATCACAGATTACTAGCACTTTATGGATTGAAATATAAGCCGACATGCAGAAAGCTTTGACTTGAATACAATTGGCTTTACTGCAGTTTTGATAGAGGATATCTGGGGAAAGAGCTTTGTTTTCCTTTGATCTTTTATGGGAAGCAATCCTGATTGCTATTCAGATGGAAAAGGGCAGCGGTGCAGAGGATGCATCCTGCTACCTGCCAGAATGATAAGCAGTTGATCACAGACAAGATATTTGACATGAGTACGAATACTGCTGTACTTCACACAAGAAACCTTAACATATCTTCCAAGCACTTGGATGGAAGATAAGCTTTGCCATCCTCGCTCTACATCCTAAGAAATAAGCAAAACTGGAGGAAGCAGCAACTTGTGTTTTAAAGACTAGGACACAGGTAACAGAAGTGCTGAACTTGAAGGACACTACAAGTGTGTTTCTTTGGTAGGAAAGAACAATTCTGAATTGAAAAAGCACAGAGCAAAGGGCAGTTATGCCTTATGTCCCAGAGGCACTGCATAGGACTGAGGGCTATGAGCTGTGCAACATGGCTGGGCAGCCAGCTCCAGAGATGGCCAGGCACAGGCAACTGTTTGGATGTATTGCTAAGGGACATGATTTAGCGGAGAATTGTTAGAGTTAGGGTAGTATGGTTAGGCTGTGGTTGGATTTGATCCTGAAGGTCTTTTCCAACCTGAGCAATTGATTCTATGATTCTATAGTGGTTTGAAAGGGAGCACTCAAATAGAAAATTCAGGCAAACACGTCTTACAAAAAAACATTGGAGGCATAGTAGCTTCCAGTCTGACATCTCAGTTACAGGTCCCTGTAGCCTGCTGCAGCACGCCTTTGGCACTCCCACAGAATATTGTCATTTTAAAGCACATGGAAAGACTTGCAAACCACCTGCTGGGGCACTGCAGAGGGCTAGGAGGGACCTTATCAGATGAAAGGTTCCTTTCTGGAAATGGGCAAAGCTATTCTAAGTTTTCCATCTATCTCGTCCTCTTAAAAGTGGCTGGCAGTCGTACTGCCCTTTCGCCTCCCATGGACTTTACACTGCTGCATGCACACTCGACTGCTCGTAACATAGCCCAAATTAGGAACAAAGCCCTTAGCTAATGGAAATAAGGCTAGATTGAAAACACAGCAAAGAACCGAGCTTTCGTTTAATTTGTAAACTGCATGTAATGTCCTTTAAATGTGCTACTTTCACTCAACAGAGCATGAGCTGAGACGGCTGCTACCAACAACCCCTCTGCCTTTTGAGTAAAAGAAGACTACGCCATAGGTGCCTGACCTATGAGTCTGCCAGTCAATACGCTCAGTAGGAAATACCCTGGATTCAAATTTCACCTATTTCAAGGATACAGAGCTGTACCCCAGAGAAGTACAGTTGATACCAGACATGGCTTCTCAACAGTTCTGTTTTCTGCTCTAGCTCCTGCTTAGACTTGAACCTATTCACTAACCCTGGCAGATGTATCAGAGATGTAATGTTGTGACTACCGAAGGGATGGGTTTCACTCTAGCGTAGGGATCACATCTTTAAGAACAGTACTAGTTATAGAAGACACTGAGACCAGGAAAAAAACAGCCTTTACTTGTTTAATTACTTGGGGGGTGCATCATTTTTATGCTGCTTCACACCACTGCCCTGAGAGAAAAATGTTCCTTTAATGCTGCAGCATAGACTTGATTCTTCTCTACTGTCTTGACATAAAGTCTACAACATCACATGAAGCCTATAGAGTTTGTCTAATAACAAATGGCAGAGCACAGAGCATCTCACTGCTTCTAAGAGGCATAAGAGAAAACACCATGGATGTCAAGCAGCTATACAAGCCAATAAGAGGAAGCATCCCAATCACTTAATAAAAATGCGAATGTCCTTAAGCTTCCTCACGTATTTTCTCATTAAGAGGTGAACACTGTACCCACTGATCTGGAATTAGGCATCTTGTGTATGTGAGTGTAGAAGTGGCTGCAGTCGCAAATTCTATGAACGGCTCATAACAAAAAAACTGAGCATCACAGGTGTCCATCTCACCTTATTCTACCCAGCACACTCTTTACACTCTTTACAATGCAAATGTCAGAAAGCATGCTTTGGTGAATACTTCCTAAAAAAAAAAATAATGAGGTCTCATTATTGCAAAACATGACCTTTTTCACTTTCAGAAGGGCTGTGCCTCTTGATGAGCCAGGTGCTGGGTTGGTGGAAGCTGAGGGAGGCTACAGGTTGGAAAAGGTATCATGCCATGACTCATCAGCAGTTTTGCTATTACAGGAGAACACTTGTGGCATCACAGAAGCTGGAGAGAGATGCCATCAGGAAAGCAGACAGGACACCTGTTTTGCTCCAAACTTTCAGAAGAGAATTAGGGACAGTTAAATATGTACCTCTGAACGTCTCTGCACAGACTGGCCTGCAGAGCTCAGAACCTAGGACTGAGCAAGGCTTCCCCTTCAGTTACATCTCGTTGTTAGTACAAACTGAGGATGCAAATGGGAGAGTTCAGTTGCTATTGGGTAGGCGTAGTGGATCCAGCACTGCAGCTAAACACAGCAAGCTGCTTAAAAGCTTAAAGGTGGCACAGATGAACAAAGCAGGCAGACATTTGTTTCCAGTGTAACTGCTAAAAAGAGTCAAGTTATACCCTTGCCCTGTTCTTCCCAATGAAATAAAAATGCAGGAATCCAATAGACTAACTTGAAACAAACCAAAATCCCACTAGTCCTTGCAAGGCTTCCGAAGCAGAAAGCTGACAAAACCATACAGAGATCCCACGTGATCGATTTCAATCCCTTATGTTCCAAGTCCCTTTATTCCATTGCCACAAAATTCACACACGTACAACTTATTTGGCAGCAAAGCTCCCAGGTGCATTGCACAAATGGATGCCTGCGGGTGTGTTCTTCTTGGGATGACACACTTGATAAATTACATTTAAATTTAGAATTGGCAAGTACAAATCCTATGGCTCTGTTTCAAATGCTTTAGGATGTAAAACCAAACAACTTGGCAACAACTTTAACAAATACAAACAGCTTATCTAGGAACTAATATGGTATGCAGGGAACAACTTAAAGATTTCTGTACCACTTATAATTATAAATTGATCAGCCTATGCGTTACCAGTATATGAGCTAAGCCAGAGAGCACTGTGAAGTGTAAGAGTGAACAGCAGCAAATATTAGAATTCAAAAGGAAGTCATCATCCAAAAGCAGTTTATTTGCATTTACTTTTATGATTGTTCGAGCTTGAACAATCCATGTTTATTCCATATTTATAGGAAGGTAAAGTGCACAGATGGTTTCAAGTGGGTACAAGACTGGGAAGAGCAAAAGAAAAATAAAAATCCTGCTACACTTTTACCCAGTCCTCTTCTATTGCAAGGCTTAAGAGTGGCAAACAATAGTGTCTGTATGGAAATGGAACACTGTGCTAAGCATCTTCTTCCTTGGATTATTAAGTCAAAAAGCCTCAAGCCACATGCATTTGTTACGCTCTACTTATCCTGAAACGTAAAAGGGTCATCAGGTTGATTTGAGGGAGTTCTCAGCATATACAAATGTTTCACAAGCTCTAATGCTATGAAACTATTTGATTACATCATACACCAATAGATGAAATTATTTCTGCTGTTACATTACACCTGTACAGTCTAAGTGACATAGTGTGAACTGCAAGCACTCCACTGCTATTGGCTGGATAGAAGCAGTTGATGCCATTGGATGTAACATTTATTCTCCAAAGCCTACAGGACAGACACAGAAATTACTAGTTTTGAGTAGGCCAAGTAGAAAAATCAAATGCATTACAAAGAGCATCATACTGTTTTTAAATCTCTGTTGACTTGCATAGAATGCTGGAGTTACATCCACAAATTCCCTTCAAAGATATAATCAGAAAGTAAGAGTTTGTGTTTACATTACAGGTTCATTTCCTGCGCAATACAGATAAGCACCTGAAGACTGAGACACTGACATCTAGTGGCTGTCATGCAAGATCCAACATTTAAAAACTGCTTTGGGTAGAAGACGAATAACTATTTGTGACTATTTGGCATTTTTGACTTGTCTGCTATCTCCCTATACACAGAAAATTTGTTAATTTTTTAGCTCTGCTTTTTAAAGATCATGCACAACTGAAGTTTTCTCAAGAAGAATGAAGGTAAACTCTCTGTATGCAGTATGTACATTTGTTCTTGTAGGCTTCGCTGCCATACACGAAAGCTGACTGCTTACGTGAAACTAATATTTAGAGTTTTTTTTTAAGAAGAAGACTATAAGTTTATAAGTTTCTATATCCTCACAATTATGAAATAAGATCATGCAATCCTGAAGTTACCTGATGTGATCCAAATAGATATGTTGTATAACTTAATGCAAAATCTTCTCAAATTCTTCTATTTATGCAGCTCTGATTACAGCACACGTATTAATCATACCTGTAAAAATTCTTTAGCCACTCTTTGCTTTAACAAACTTTAAAGAAGCTATGACCATCTCTTTTTGATGAGGTAGTGTTTAGAAGAGCCCTGTGTGAAAACATGTTGAATAATTTCCAGTAAAAAATCTTGTGCTTAAGCATTGAAAAACATTGGGAAGAAGGATATTAACATTTATGCACTTTATAATAGATAGCTACTGAGAGGGGAGAAAAACACATTCAGATCCAATTCAATTAGCCTTCAGATCAGTGATGCTATATTTTTTCACATCATTAATGTGAAACTTCCTTACTTCTAACTATTTCCAAAGTAGAAGCCAACTATTGAAGTGTCTGGGCTTATTCATGCTTACATTCTAGGAGACGTGTCAGGAATTGCACTCCTAAGTTGTTGAATCTTGCTAGAATTGATGATGTTTTGGGCTATAAGTTATATTCTACCAATCCATTATTTCAAATTAAAAAAATACATAAAGACTAGCTGAATAACGATATCAAGCATGAATTATGAAAGCATCTTTGGTTGCACAAAGTCAACTTTAAAATGGTTAATAAAAAGCTGAAGTCACAACACAGGATAGTAAAGCAGCTCCTTCTCAGCAATGCACGTGCATGAACTTCAAAAACGCAGTGATGAGGAAGTCAGCCTCAGTGGAAGATAAAAGGCTGGATGTGATCAATTTTTGTAGCTAAGGCTTACAAATATAAATTTAAAAATCTGGCAACATATTAAAAAAGCATGGTTTTTTACAATTCTGTATTAAGACAGATCCACAGAGCTAACTTTTATAAAAACACAACATGCTGCGTAAGTTTTATTTAGGGATTTAATTTATATACCACAAATACTGCCTTTAATATAGGTACAATATAATACAGTTCTGTTTATTTGACTGCTGGTGTTCACTTTGGATCATGAACTCAATGGCATGCTGTGCTGTCAAAACTTCAATAATAAAATGGCCTCTAGTTAAACTTCTCCAAAGTATAAAATCATGCAAAATCTACATCCTATATGATACAACCAGTACAATAATTGAAGCCAATAGCCTGCAATCAGCCTGGACCATCTTCTGAGCTTGTTCACGAAACGTCCACAACTCAACCATCATTTTCGTTAGGCAGAAAGGAAGAATTTCTGTTTTGTCTCTGGAATTTCACCATGACTGAAATCAGCAACAATGTGCATAGCTATCAGCCAACAAATCTTCATTACCTAATGCAGTTCAGACTGTGCATTTAGTCCATGTTGATGAGTCTGTGGTTAGGAAGATTTACGCTTTCCTCCTGTGACTACCGGTCGTGCATATTCCACAAAATCATCTATAAGAACAGGCCATGCTCCTAAAGAGAAGGCATGCAGTTCAGAAATTAATTATTATTGGCAATAAGTTGGCATAGTCTCTAAAAAGAAAAAAAAAGACATACAGTTTTGCAGTTAGCAGCATCTCAGTACTGCAATACTGTGACACTTGTACCATAACAGTTTCAGATATTACCTGTAAAGATATTGTCACACCATGATATAACTTCCATCAATGTATTATAGCAAGTTTTTAATCATTAATGTTTTGGCAACAGGTAACATCTTTATCAATGGCATCAATGATGGAATTGAGTGCACCCTCAGCAAGCTGATGACACCAAGCTGAGTGGTGCGACTGACATGGTGGAAGAAAGGGATGCCATTCAGAGGGACCTCAACAGACTTGAGAGGTCGTCCCAGGTGAACCTAATAAGATTCAACAAAGCAAAGTGCAAGGTTTCGCACTTGGGCCGGAGGAATCCCAGGCATCCATACAGACTGGAAGGAGCAGTCCTTGAGAGCAGCCCTCCAGAGAAGGACCTGAGGGTCCTGACAGATGAAAAACTTAACTTGAGCCAGCAGTGTGCTCCTGCAGCTTGGAAAGCAAATGGTAACCTGGGCTCCATCAGAAAAGGGGTGGCCAGCAGAGACAGGGAGGTGACTGTCTCCCTCTACTCTGCCCTCATGAGGCCCTATCTGGAGTACTGTATCCAGATCTGGAACCCCCAGTACAAGAAAGCTGTTGAAGAGGAGGGCCAGAGGAGGACCACAAAGATTATCAGAGGGTTGGAGCACCTCCCCTATGAAGACAGGCTGAGGGAGCTGGGCTTGTTCAACCTGGAGAAGAGAAGGCTGCAGGGTGACCTCACTGCAGCCTTGTAGTACCTAAAGGGAGCCTACAAACAGGAGGGGAGTCAACTCTTTGAAAGGGTAGACAATGGCAGGACAAGGGGAAATGGTTTTAAGTTGAGGGAGGGAAAATTTAGGTTGGATATTGGGGAAAGTTCTTCAAGATAGTGGTGAGGTGCTGGAACAGGCTGCCCAGAGAGGTTGTGGATGCCCCATCCCTGGAGATGTTCAAGGCCAGATTGGATGGGGCCCCAGGCAGCCTGGTCTAGTATTAGATATGGAGGTTGGTGGCTCTGCATGTGGCAGGGGGGCTGGAGCTTGATGATCCTTGAGGTCCCTTCTAACCCAAACCACTCTACGATTCTATGCTGTTTATCATTTAAAGCAATATTTTAATAATGCTGTATCAATTTTTGATGATATTCAGATACTGTTTACCTTCTTCATCATAGTTGGACATATCGTCTGCAATCATATTTCCAAAGTCTAACAGAAGATTCCAAGTATCTTTTGGAATTGATCTTTTATGATGTTCCTATAAAAGAAGAAGGTTTCTGTTCAATATAATCTATTTGTCAATTCCACAGAAGTATTTTATTTTGACACACACAAAAACAGGTAGTTTACAATTATTTATTTTAATAAATCGAAACTACAAAATAAACTGCTACTAAAAAAGGTAGAAAAGAAAGAAAGCATGTACTTTATACTTCCAGTTATGGATCTCATTGCCCAACCACTTCAACTTGAGCCCTTTCATCCCACCTTTACCTAGTCTGTCTTTTCAATACAGTTACAGTTGCATCTGCCTTTCTCCTTTCACTCCCAGACTACAATCTGGATCCATAATCTCAGCCTTTCTTGAAGTAGCCTTCCAGTACTTGAAGGGGCCTATAGGAAAACTGGGGAGGGACTTTTTATAAGGGCAGGTAGTGAGAAGAGAAAATGGCTTTAAAATGGAAGAGGGTAGATTTAGACTAGATATTAGGAAGGAATACTTTACTGTGAGGGTGGTGAGACACTGGAACAGGCTGCCCAGTGAGGCTGTGAATGCTCCCTCCCTGGAAGCATTCAAGGCCAGGCTGGAAGGGGCTTTGAACAACCTGGCCTAGAGGGAGGTGTCCCTGCCTAGAGCAGGGAGATTAGAACTAGGTGATCTTAAAGGTCCCTTTCAATCCAAACCATTCTGTGATGATTCTATTCCTTCACTGTAGTGCACATCTGCATTTGATCCACTTTTATTCTCCATTACCACATCTTAGTCTAATTTCTAGTATGTGCCTGCATCATTCACACAGAACAGTTTCCAGTCTGGCCAGTTTGAGCAGCATGCCAAAAAGCTTCAGTTCTAGTCAGTGTTCTCTCAGCTTTTAGTCAGCCTTTCCACTCTCTTTCTTTCTTCCTCTCAGTCCCCTTCAGAACCTTAAGACCTTACTTCACTTCCCTATACCAGCCCCAACTTGATCAACTGGATCAAGGATCTGGCCATAAGTAGCCCTGTCTTCTCCTTCCATCCTTTCTGTTCCACACCACAAGCAGCCACAGAATTCTGCAGAACAATCTGAGCAAGCTCTGGCACTTGTCTGACCCCATGAGAAACCTCCTGATTAGCCCGGAGAAAGAAAAATGTAGTTTTAGCTGGATGTGTTTTCTGCCAGCTTAGCAAACAGAAACAACTCATAAAGGATGGTCAATAAAGTGCCACAATTATTTTAAATGAAAGCAGCAGAAACATGGTATGGAAGAGACTGAAATGAAGTTGACATCCAATGCAACAGCAAACATGCACTCTTACACAAACCAAATATCATTGTTTTCAGTCAAGATATGACAAGCAAACACACTGTCTTCTGGAAAAGGCTCCTTAAAAACAAACAAGCAAACAAAAATATAACACCATAAACAGTTCTTAGCTTGCTGCTTTTTTAGGTCTTTTTTTTTTTCCCCCATCCATGCATTTCTTCAAAAGTTTTGGTTCAGGTTAAATGTTTGTAGCAGAATAAGACACTCTATAACATAACATCAGTACTGCTAGTTCTGTAGAACTGTTTGTTGTAACAAACTTGATCACATTGAATGGAACTTTTTGTATATATGTATGTACATGTTTTAAGTGTTAAGTGAATTAAGGCAGTTAAAATGTAAAATATTTTCATAGATTCTCTCAATGAAATTGATACATATATCAGTGAAGAAAATATACTGCCCAAAAATGTTAGAAAAATAAATAAAGCAAGTATTATGAAAAGTACACACTTGAAAAATATAGAAATAAGTATAGAAGAAACTTTTTATTCTCCTGAACTACTGATAAAAATCAAACTGAAAAGCTAAAATAAATTATACATTTTTTGCAAGTACATAGAAATGGAGTATGGATGAATAGATCACTTCTTTAATAAGAACATTTTGTAATTTCTGAAGTTTAATTTATACATCTTTACTACACTGCCTACAGAACTGCACTGATAATACAAAGTTGTCAAGATCAGTTCACAGCTATTATCCAAAGTGAATCAAAATAATTACTCTGAAAAAGATCTTCTGCTAAAAAGTTGCCTCTCAGGTTAAGTCAGTCATAACAGAATTGACTTAAAAAAACAACACAAAACAGTTTATGCATTAATACCACTAAAGGCAGAGCATGGTAAAAAAATGTGGCTAACAATAATCACAGCTGTCTTGAGAGTAAAGACAACACAGGTTCAAACTACAATTATGGCCTCATTTCATGCAGAAGTTATTGTAAGTAGGAGGATACAAGATTAAGCAAGCAGAATGCACTACTGCTTTGCTACATCTTTTTTGCTTTCTTCTCCACTAGAAAGTTATATAAAGAAGATTTATTTTCGCTTGGTCTAAGACTCTCTTATATCAGCTTACAAAAAGGAAGAACTTCAAAAGGAGGCATTTAGAAAGTCTCTCTTTATTGCAAGCACAGTACCATTCATATAAGCCAGACTATTGTGGACTACAACAGTCGGAGATGAATAAACTGTGTACTTACCAACAAGAACTTATTCCAAAGATCTAGAAATTTAAACCTTCCTGATAAGACTAAATTCCAGTATGCAATTGCCATTTCTAGATCTGCAAGACAGAAAGCAAAACCATCAAATATTACATTACACTGTAAGCAATAGATCTGCTACAGTTACATGATGCTACATCCAATACATTACAATATAAATGAATTATTATTCTAAAATTTTTAGAGCTGACAGAAAAAAAAAAGGTGCTTGCTGATCTAAAAGACAGAAGGTGCGAGGTCATGGTAAAAACTGCATATTGAACATTACAGTCCTAAAGATTAAAGTCTTTCCATTACTGCCCAGCAGTGCTGGGTTAAAGATGCAATTAAGCTCCAGAAACAAAACACACCAGTTATCAATAAACCTGCCCACAGACTTAAAGCAAAAGAGAGGCAAATATTGACAGCAACCCAAACACCGAAGTTTGCAGGTGCCAATTACTGTAAGTTTATCACATTTTAGATATGCATGGCTGGAATGGGATTTTAAAAGACAAGAGGGAATGGAAAAACTATTTCTCTGGGCATAATAATTCTACAGCAGCCCTTACAGCAATACAATTTTCTTCTTCCAGAATCATTTATCAGAAGAACACCCAGAACCAAAGCTGAAAACTTAAATCCATAAATCAGATCGTATTCTACACCACAATCTAACAGCAGGGCTCAGCTCATGCATACCACCAGGAGGATGCACTGCCACATGTTCAGGTGGAAAAGGATGAGCAATATTAGATGCTGGATAAGGGTAGAAAAAGAATTTCTTGAAGGCCTGTTTCTCAGCAACACAATACCTAACTGCTTGTGCCCCAGTCTCACACATAACACTGTCACAGATTCACATGTCATTGTGCAACCACAAAATAAAGGCACATCCTTTCTTAAACCACAAAATGCTTTCAATTGGTGCTTTTAATGTAGGTTAAGTATAAACCAAGTATGAAACTTAATAGAAAAGACTATGGTAGTAGCAGATGTAAAGGAAGCCTGGCCTGCCCTTAAGAGGGGAGTATGGTATTTGGAACTGTGGATGTCCTATTACAAAGCAAAAGTCGGTGTCACCTGGCTTTATACCTGAAAGAGAAGTTCAGATTTCAACACAGCCAGTTTTCTACACCTGTTTCATAGAGAGCGGAACCCAGACTAAGATGATAGAGATGCAAATTAATTATTCATATCTGTTATTCCAAATGAAAAGCAAAAGGAACGGAAGGGAGAAACTCAAATAATCTTATGAGTTCCTAAACCACACTGTGAAATGTCTGGCTTTGATTCCATTCACTCAGGCTTCATTATGCAGACTCAACTTTTCCAAACGGAACTTGTAAGCATTGGCAAGCATCAAGCAAAATGCACTTTGATGAAAAAACACTTTCATAGCACAAGAGTTTACATACTTCTGATGAAATACTCCTTGAAAAATGGAAGAACGTACAGGCAGAGAAGCAAAGACAGTCAGAAGTAATTTAAAAAAAAAAAAAAGTAAGGAAAGAGGAGGTCATGAACCGATGCAAAGAGATACTGGAACAAATGGACTGTCCCTTTTGGTAATGGTGCTAGTTTAGGCATCAATCTTAAAAGTATCTGGAAGAAATCAGGCCTTCAGATTCTGTTACAGGATTCAGTTCCTCATCAGGCTGCTGACAGCAGTACCAATAAACTGTAATGCTGTGGAGTTCCTTTATTTGCTACAGTGAGCACAGCTCTATAAGATTAAAGCAGAAACATAAATAAAAAAGGGAAAAAAACCTTCACATAACCACTGGCTAGCTGATGCTGGCAGGGTTCTCTGGGTCGCTCAGGCCCACTCTCTCTCCAGCAGGGCACACAGAGCAGGGTGCTCAGGGCCATGGCCAGGCAGCAGCTGGAGATCCCCAGGGAGGACACCCCACAACCTCTCTAGCCTCATGCCATGAGTTCTGCATCCCACAGAAAGATGCTTTTGCAAGATGGGAATTTCTTATGCAGTCTTAAGAAAGTGTATCTCAGTGCTGCACAGTTATGAAAGCATCAATTATAAAAGACAAAACAAAACTGTAACTATGCTGGTTTTGTACAAAAAACAGTGTATGAGTTTTAGAATTGGAAATGAAAAGATAGCTGCACGAACCTATGAACCTCTGGAAACTAAGATCTAAGCAAGGACCAGAGATAACAAACTAGCACAACTTGTGGAGAAGGAGAAAGAACATTACCAGTTAGGCAGACTGTATCTACTTTCAAGATTTGACCAAATGTCTATTTTGTTAACAAAAATGTTCATGAGTAGATTTTTAAATTAAAAAAAACCAACAACAAAAACTAGAAATTAGACCAAGTTCTTTACTCTTTTGCTCTGATTTTGTATATGCAGAATGAAGTCACTGTGCACACGAGTAATCAAGGAAGCAAGAAAACAGATAATCATCAGATTGCAAGGAAATGATTGGAGAGTAGGATTTATGAGGGACATGAAATTAAGTTCATTTAGACCTGCTGTGCCAAAACAGCACTCTGGGATTGCAGCACTCACTTGTCATCCCTCTGCCAAATAGAGCTTTCCAGCTCTCTCAGACAGCACTACCAACAGAGCTGTTTATGCAGTTATGTTTGAAGCTGTCAGAATACAATAACCAATTCATTTAAATTACTGACATGAGACGAAAAAATAGGCAGAAAACAAAATAGCTAATTTGGAGGCCAGTATAAAAAAAAGATTTATAGGAATACTTCAATATTAGGCACAGTTGTCCATAAAATCTGTAATTGGCACACTATTTTCTGTGCATTATGACAGTATAGTCTACCAAGTTTGAGAGGTTGGAAACAAATCATTATCTTCTTATCAGTAAAGCTTTTCTATGTTATACTAGTCATCTTTGCGAAAGACTTTGAGCAGCTTGTAAAAAGCCCCATGCTCGGTATTCAAAGAGTACTCAACTAACTGTATGGGCAGGACTTTTTGTAATAGGAAGTATCTGGTAGTGTTACCCCACTTTCAGATGCAAAACAGAAAATTAACTAAGAATGTAACACAGAATCATAGAATCACAAGGTTGGAAGCGACCTATAAGATCATCTAGTTTTCTCATTACCCTTGCTACCACAAACTAAACCAGATCTCGCAGCTCCTCATCCAGGTGCCTCTTGAACACTGCCAAGGGCAGTGACTCCACCACCTCCCTGGGCAGCCATTCCAGTGCCTGACCACTCTCTGAGAGAAAAAGTTCTTCCTCATGTCTAATCTAAACTTCCTCTGGTACAACTTGTGGCCATTTCCTCGGGTCCTGTTCGTTGCCTGGGAGAAGAGGCCAAACCCCTCATCACCACAACCTCCCTTCAGGAAGTTGTAGAGTGCAATCAGGTCTCCCCTGAGCTCCTCTTCTCCAGACTAATCAATCCCAGCTCCCTCAGCCGCTCCTCACAAGACTTGTGCTCCAGACCCCTCACCAGTTTTGTTGCCCCTCTCTGGACATGCTCCAGGGCCTCAATGTCTTTCTTGTAGTGAGGGTCCCAAAACTGAGCACAGTACTCGAGGTACGGCCTCACCAGTGCTGAGTACAGGGGGATGATCACCCCCCTGCTCCTGCTGGCCACACTATTTCTAATGCAGGCCAGGATGGCGCTGGCCCTCTTGGCCACCCGGGCACACTGTTGGCTCATGTTCAGCCGAGCATCAACCAACACCCCCAGGTCCCTTTCCTCTTCACAGTCATCCAGCCACTTGTCCCCAAGCCTGTAGCGCTGCATGGGGTTGTTGTGGCCAAAATGCAGGATCTGACACTTGGCCTTGTTGAACCTCATCCCATTCACCTCAGCCCAGTGATCCAGCTTATCCAGATCCCTCTGAAGGGCCTCCCTACCCTCAGGCAGATCAACACCACCTCCCAACTTGGTGTCATCTGCAAACTTACTGAGGGTACACTCAATCCCCTCATCTAGGTCACCAATAAAGATATTAAACAAGAGAGGCCCCAGTACCGACCCAACTTGAATCCGGTCGCCTGCTGGACTTAAAGATCACGGGAGGAAAGAGTTGTTTTTATTAGATAAGTTAATAAAGATTAAAAAGCAAACAAGAAAAAAACAGAGGAGTCTGAAACAAAAATTTCAGAGCCAAGAGCTCCTTCACTTGAGATTTTCTCTCCTCACTGCTTTAACCAAATCTTATTCTACATCTCTGAAAACAAGAGTATCCAAGAAACTCTAATTTTTTATGCTATGTTAGGTACAGTAATCTGGACAAATGCAAGACAAATCTATTCCATCATTCCACTGCCTATAATATTATATTAAACCTTTATGAGAGACTGAACTTCAGACGCTTTCCTTGTAGTCATGTAATTTGCCCTAAAAGATCATTAGATTAATATCTTTGATCTCTTTCCTCGTGTTTCCTTACTGTGGTTACAAGCAAAATAAATAAATAAATAAATAAATCATACATCTATAAAGCTAAAACAAAACCTACCTTGCACAAATAATTATTTTCTTTCAATAAAATTCCTGGGCATTGTGTAAAAAAAAAACCAAACAACTGGTGCAGATGTAGAAACAGTGGAAAAAAGCGTGAATCTAAGGAACTAAACTATCATACTATCCTCACCAAAAAAAACCATCAGATGAATACTTGCAAGACTCAGAGAGTTACTTGACTCCTTGATTCCTTATCTCTGAACAATTTTAAGTCTTCTTGGGCCTCCAAATTACTGAGGATATGGACAAAAAAATAGTTTATTTCCTAATCATAACATTTTTCCTTTACATACAAATAAAATCTACATAGAAAAGCAAAAAAAAAACACCATTAGGATTCAACCTGGAAACCCCTCAGCAAATTGTCCAATGTTTAGAGCAAACGACAACCCTTATCTACAATTAAGAGCACTCTCACAGAAGGAAGAGAGAAGGGGAGAAGCAGAGGAGTACGAAACGAACACTGGAATTGGCTTAACTCAGGATCCAGCTGAGTTGTACCCATTTATCTCTGGCAAAACCATTAGCCAGGAGCTCCCCAGTGCTGTGTTTGAGGACACAATGCACAGCATCAGAATTAAGTCTCTGGTGGATGGGGAGACAT